TTGAGGCGCCTTAAGGGGCGGTTCAAGGAGGTGCACGAGCTAGCGATGAGGGCTCAGGAAGAGGCCGAGGCTAGGCAGAAACGAGCTTATGTCACTAGAGCTCAAGGGCAATTGTTTTCCCCTAAGGACTTGGTTTGGATATTCTGCCCTGAGCAGAAAAGGGGGTTGTCCCCTAAGCTGATGCACCACTGGCAAGGACCCGGGGAGGTCTTGGACCGGATCTCCGAGGTGGTGTACAGAGTCTGCCTGCCAGGGCGGGGGAGGAAGGTGGTGTTTCACCGGGATCGGCTGGCACCATATCACCCTCACGCTTTGACCCCACCAGCGGAGAGTGATGTTGGAACATCACCCGCCCCCAGCACAGAACTGGAGCCTCAGAGACTTGAGCATGAGGGTAGTACTGAGGATACTGAACCCAGGAGGCCAGGACGCATCCGGCGCCAGCCAGAGAGACTGCAGGATTTTGTTATGGGATGAGGGTTGTGGGGACACTTAACCCTCTTCCAGATGGAAGTTTGGAGAAAACCAAAGTTGTGTGCATTTATTGTAGTAATGAACTGCCCTTTCACCGAAGAACAACAAGTCTGAAGTACCATCTTTGGGCCAAACATATTTTGGCAGATGTTAGTAAAGATGCCAGTGCTGATACAGCATCAACAAGCCGTGCTCTTTCATCCGAAAATGTTAATAAGCTAGTCTGTCTGAGTAACCGGCTGAAAGAAGAGTATATTATATGATTGGTTAGCAGGAGGAATGTTGCCTAGATGAACACTGTAGAGACTGTTCATTTTGTCTCTGTACAGACATTTAATTTCTAAAATAGACCTATAATAGAAACGTTGATTGTTGAGATAACTGGAGGATCTGTTTCCTTAAACTAGTTTTGTTATACATTTCTTTACTTCAGATCAAGAATGTACAGTGTTCATTTTGTGTTTTTGCAGACATTTCCTTTCTGAAATGGTATTATAATAGATATGTTAATTGTTGAGATAATAAAACTGGAGGATATGTTACCTTAAACTAGTTTGACATGCATTTCTTTATTGCAACACATTTACAAGTAAATCATAGTATTTAAAATTTGTGATTAATTGTGATTAATAACAGTGCATCACTGCGATTAACTTGATTAAATTCTTTAATCGATTGACAGCCCTAGTATAAATATATAAATGGTTTCTTTTCAAATTCATTTCAAATTCCCATTTGGCCTTGGAAGTCACAGAATGTCCTGTGAGAGTATATAAATGTGTGAGAGTCAATTTAAAAAAATGTCAGGTTGGTATGTTGATCCTCCAGGCATATAGAAGTAATTTCCTAACAACATCACTGACTCCTGGATATGAAATATGTACTGTCTGGTTTGAAAATTGGATTTTCATTTGGGAAGTTACTGTATTGAATGCATGTGAGTGCACATACATTTGTTGCCCATGTGTTTTGCTTGTTGACTTCCAAATAAAGTGCAACTCAACAGAAGTTGTGGTTTGTTCAATGTTAAGATATGACAGATTCCCTGAAGCTAAAGAAGGTTTAACTGCAGAACAATTTCTGCCTCCTGAGTGAGAAAACAGGGGACTTAAATTACTCTTAGGCACTGACACTGCCTGTTCTGTGTGATAAAGAAAGACTGTTTTAGTGAGTACAGACAAATTTCCACCAGAGCCACTTACGCTACAGATCCAGGCCCATGCACGGTGCTGTTAGTTGCATCTACAAAACAACATATGAGATGCACATAAGAATACCTGCTCTTTTGTGTTAATAATGGGTGTGTTTTCAAAATGGCCCCAGGTAACCAGACTGGCAGCAAAACAATAAATGAAGTCAAAGTATCATTACAATTGCTATCATGTTAAAAAAGCAAGACATCAGGAACATCAACAATAGTCCTACAATATACAGAACACAGTACAACAATGTGATTAACTGATGTGTTTTGATCAGAAAATCAATGTAAAGACACTTAGATGACATTACAAGGGTTGTTGCATGCTGCTGAAACCCTGTAAGTGGCTCCATTAAGCCACATGATAACATCAAACTGTACCTGAGAGATGTTTCCGTCTGCTCTTACAGCCAGATGAAACTTCATTACAGCATCTCTAACTCTATGACTTACTCATCAAAGGCCCATTCAAGTCCTTTTCTGTTGCAGCTGAGAAAGAGCTGGTGTGTGTATGTGTAAACATCCATTACCCAGCCTCGACAGCCTATTATTAGTAGGTTTGCCTTGTGAGGACAATGTGGTCTCGTAGTGAATTTGGAGTATAGGCATTAACTGAGGATAATGTAAGAATCAGGGTCAGATAGTTGCATTAATTAGGTTGAGAGAAAAACATTTTTTTCACATGATGACATTAAATCATGACAAAAAACAGATATAATAACACTTAAACCATCACATGTTTAGACTAGACTTTTGGCTAAATTAAGGTTACTGTTTAAGGCTATAGTCAAGGATATAGCGGTATCATGTTTCTAGAAAATGAATGCAAGTCAATGCAATGTCTTCCTAGGTAGTGGTGAAAAATGTGTCTATGTCCTTTTAAGTCCTTTTAAAAGTAAAAGTAGTAATACCATAATATAGAAACAGTGCAGTCCTGTGCTGATCATTTTTAAAGTGCAGATGTAACCTGTTCTTAACAGTAAATTCAGGTCTGCTTTAACCATCTTAGCCAGTGCAACAGTTAGTAGACTGAAGTGGCTCATATACTGCCACATGATGTCTGTATATTTTTGTCCTGCCTATTGACATGCATGAGAAGGTCAGAATATTAGGAACACCTCAGACTATAATGTAGTCCAGTACAACAACACCTTTAACTATGACCACAGTAATGAACATATAATTGAATTTATGCATTTATGCCAATCTCACCAAAAAAGTGAAACATTTTGAGCTTCATAAGCACAAATGTTAAGGCAGAGGTGTTGCATTGAAGTGCATACAGGGGACAGCATCTGCATGAAGCTGTTTTACTGACTTTACTGCATAGCTCACTTTATTCAAAGATGAGCTTTGAGAGGTTGGTAGGGCAGAGAGGTCAATGTAAAACTCTACTAGTTAACCAAGTAAATGTGCATTGTACATTTTGTGATGCTGTATGTGTAGGATGTGTTTTTGGTGTTGATTGTTGGTAACAGAGTGGAGGGACACTGCCCTTTCACAAACCCATCTTCACTTGTTTCCTCTATTCAAAATAACATAAGACCTACATTACTGGACCTCCCTAATTGGTATTCAGTGATACTGGATAAAGTCAAAGAGGCAAAGAGTATTTCTTTGACAGGCACAGAAACAGTAATTAGATCCAGCAGATGCTGTCTATAACAGCTGTACCAGTAATATGCTTCTGCAGTAAAAGAGTACTCGTCTGGCAGACTGAGCCTGGCTTCAAAAAGCCTGTTTGATATCATGAACGATGCGGCAGTCGACTGCAGAGCTAGCAGTTACCGACAGATGAGACAGTCTGACAAGGGCCTTGTTTGCAGAGACAAGAACAGGTGTGGAAACACAACTGTGACTGTAGCCATCAGAGAGAGTACACAGTTTGATCAAAAGCAGAATTTAACAACTACAGGGATCGAAGTGTAGATTTTAATTATTTCAATGCAAAAAGGAATTTAATCTCATAAGTAATTTTTGCTTGTTTATTTGTTTACTGCCTTTTCTGTACAAACATATTTCTAACTGGAAATCAGTTTTTACAGTCAGAATTTCAACTCAACCAGCAGCTGCAAAGCATAATATACAATAAGTGTACACGTGATATAAAGTTACCTAGAAAAACACAGTGTATACACTTACAGTAGACTGATGCATTGTTTGACACTGTGTAATTTGTAAAAGCAACATAAGACAGATTTGAAATTGTTTTTCAAGGCAGCACTTTACAGCAGTAGTTCCAGATGTTACTGCACTAGTTGCCATAAGTACATTTGTTGTGATTTTTGAGGTGTGTCCTTCTGCTGAAGAGTGGGAAATTTCACATCAACCTGAGCTTTAGTCTCACACAGCAGTGTAATAAAGAGAAAACCTTCTGAATGTTGGCAGCTGTACAGTGGAGCCACAGAAAACAAAAAAACACAAGCAAGTAACCAGGGTGGGACAAAATAAAACTGAAATGATACAGTACAAAGAAGGGAAACAATGTAAATAACACTGCCACACACATGTAGTAAATCCATCTCAGGGGACAGGAAGAGTTAATAAGGAAAGATTAATAAACATAACTTGGTTTCATCTTGTAGACCTGCAGTTTTCAGGGAGGACGTGCCTGCTGGAAATTTTATTTCCCTATTAAGCACATAGTGTAATCAGGGATTCCTTGGAAGCAGGGAGACTAGGGAATCCAGAGGTGGGATGCTGCCTGAAACCTTTCAGCTCAGGACAGAAATAAAGGCAAATATTTCCAGAAGAGCCTTACGGGAACAAAAAATCCAGTAATACTCTATAATAAATGGGTAATTTGTCCAGAAGCTAAGAAAGGGTAACATTTCAATCAATATATTAATCTATTATTAATGTATGAATTTTTCATGTTGTGTCTGAGTCTGCAGGGACATTTTCATCAATTATTTAATGTCCCTATAACAGAATATATCGTTATATTTTATAATTTATAATAGTTGTATAAGATTTACAAGAATGTCCATATTTGATTTTTATCATCTTTGAAATCAAGTGTTTCTACTTTAAAGTAACATGCTTCACATGTTTACAACAATTTAGATCCTTTTAGGGATTTTGTGTGGAAATAAAAAATATAGGAAAAAGATATTTAATCTCTATAGATGTGCTAAAATCTAGTTGCCTAGGCTACCAGATATAAAAATCTGTTTGAAATCGTTTGTTAATAAGTTAGAGATATTTTCTAAAAAAGTATCCTCACCCACAGCAGGTAGAAATCCACAGAGAAATGTTATCTTACCTTGTGTGCCAGGGGTGACATGGATGAGCTGTTTTAGTTTTGTCCATGTTACACACTTTTGTCAACACAGTGGAGCAGAGAGGGAGGCAGACAGTAATGATGTTGCTCCTCCTCTGACACGAACCAGTGTGTGTGTGTGTTTTCAGCTGACAGAGTGGGGAGGGGTTATGAAAGCGATTTAACTCCCTTAAGGTAGGGTCACAAATTTAAATAAACAAGAGACGGAGAGAAAAAATGTCAGTTTCAGGATCATAGAGAGCACTGGCCTCTGCAGCACAAACACGTCCTGTTCACCTGCATTACAAAACCTTGGGCAATCACGTGGAGAGATGTCTGAGTAGCTGTGGGAAGAAATAAAATGGTAAAACACAATTTAAATGAGGCCAAAATGAAGGGTTGTACTTTTATTCTGTTGCTGCAGGATACTGACCTTTAAGGCTGTTGTTCTGACCTTTTAACCAAACCGGTGACGTAGTCTGCTCCAGTTGGAGGATGACCTTACTTTGATGGAATTACCACAGAGAATAATGGTCTCATAATCACAAAACAATATGGCAAATGAAACAAGGAGAGTGGCATCAAACAGAGCACGTAAACATAATTTGATATGTGAATATATGAAGTGATTTATTGTGCTTGTCTTGGTCCAGACTGCTCACATCAACACTGTGAATTGATTGGCTGTGATCCTGTATGTATAAGCCTTTACAGTGATTTGACATGGTATATGGTTTTCATGTTTTGACATAGGAATCAGTATGTAATAGGAAGCTATAGTTGTGCATCCATGACCATAAGCTCCACTTGTACTGTTTCACCATTTGTCATCAACACAAACTGATATGAGGCTTTGACCAGGGATGGACCAGGACATAAATGAACAATAAGAAACCATAAAATCACCAATTACTTTTCCAGCTGTCGCACCAGGAGTAAGTGGTATTATTTATTCAGTGCAGTAAAACCATAATCTTTTCCTCATCATAATGTTGTCTTTAATATCCTACACAGCTGTTTCATTTGATTCTTTATGACACTTTTTGATTATTAACTTCACATTTGTGAGTGATAACTGGGCTAACTGTAACACATTACTCTGCAATAATAATCACTGAATAATTTTATACCATTTCCTGCAGAATATGTCAAACACTTTCAATAACATTTAGTGTTTAAATCATGTAGGAAATATAACTGCAGTGGAACAATGTCTCAAAAGGTATTTGTTGTCTGACCATTTAAGCATAATGAAGTATTGGACAAGTAAGCTAACATGATGCTTCCTCTGGGCGATGGCTTGTGTGGATTTAAAGCTCAACACTGAATGCAAGATTCATATGGGTCCAGTTGGGTCCAGTCCTTTCAGGCCACTGGCAATTGCTTTGCATGGTAAGGCCTCCTCCTTGTACAGGCACTGAAATGGTATCTGCATAATTAAAGGTCTCAGTTTCATTAAAGGCTTTACCCTTTGTTTTACTGTATAATTTGGAAAATGCTTTTCCTGTTGAGTTACACACAAAAAGCTATGTTCATGAAAGTGTTCAGAAATTTAAATAATCAGAAAAAATAAGGTTTTGTTTCACTGCAGCAGGGCATATTATTATTAGTATGGGACAGCACCATGAGTGATAAAAGCCATCACACCTCACAGGCACAAATACAGACACACACTGCTTTTTCATACTAATCACGTCTGTCATCATTCAGATTCTTATTGTTTACATACACTTACCAACTTCCCATTTTTCTTGATATTGTACTTAAGTACAACAGTCTCACACCATAACTGTTTATAGATGTTAGTGTTGTCACAATAAGATAAACAATAAGAGAGGCTCTTTCCTCTTCATCACATGAAGTGCAGGGAATTAGGTCATCTAGTTGGAGCCAGAGCCGCTGTTTGAATGGAGAAGGGCCACACAGTACCAGTCTAACACTTCTGACAAACCAGCCTCTAATTTTCTAAAGTTTACTGGTGCATATCAACCATCACTGGGTCCAGGACCAGTCCGAATGCGAGCACTTGGAGTCTGATCAACTACTGGCACTGATATTACCTCTAGATAAATTAGTCTGTGTTCTTCATCCATTTATGGTTTAGTCAAAAAGCTTTACATTAATATAAAAAAAACTGCAAGCTTTTGCAAAACACAGAGATTTAAGGTAATAAACAGCATTCACTTCTGTTCTGCAGTTAGTGTAATGTTTGTCCAAATTTGCCCTCCCAGGCTTCTTCCCATATCAGTTGTGGATTTAAGTTGGTGTGGCCATTAAAATACATGTGGGTACCTGTTCTCATGCTTCCCATCCTAGACTCTTGTCAGAATAAATGTCATGCACCTGTGTTTGTGATAAAGAGTGGGCCAAGCAGGTTTTAAGGCAAATGCAACTTTAGGTCAAAATAAGCATTAAAAATGCACTGCACTGCCCAAACAGAACAAACACGGCCTGGGCTGCGTTTCTCCTCGCACCTCAGTGTGAGCGCCTTCATTCATGACAGAAAAATACCAAACACACCCATGCACAAAAAAATCAGATTTGTGCTCAAGAAAAATTGTGTAAAGTGCATTTGAAATGGTGCCAGCTTTGTGCTGGCAGAGAAACAGAGCCTTTTATGTGTTAATTAATGAGCTTTTGAGGTGCTGGTAGATGGACTTTGTGCAGAACCACGGTATCTGTATGCCTCTAATTCTAGTCTTTACGCTAAGCTAAACTAATTAACTGACTGACAGAAGCTTCATACTTACCAGATAAACATGAAATCTTTTCAACTAACCCTCAGCAAGAAAGTGAATATTGTACGTGTACCTTTTATTCTGCAGATGAACTGATAACAATAAAGCAAAATAAAAATACCAGTAAATTCTGTTAGAGATACCCAGCCAATACAGTATTGCCCTTCCATAAAGTTGAGGGTCTCACAAGAAATAACATAACTATCTAGCCCAAGATATCCCTTATTTATAGGCTAGATTACACTACAAAACACTGATTCCCATAATGTAACTCAATAACATCTTCATTTCACTGTGGCAATTATTAGTTTGTAACACGGGTTAAAGGGAAATGTCTGGTGCAGTCAGAACCATGTCACTATCTCATGAAGAGATTGCTCTTTACTTAAAGGCCCCATTAAATGTTCAGTCTGCAGACACTGGGTAAAAGCTCTTACGTCGCTGCCTCCTACCAACTGGTTGGTTTGTGAATCTGCTGCCATCTGGAGGACTCATGTCTGCCTTTTCTCTGTCCAGTGATTCCTCATACAATCCTCTCTGAAGCAGAGAGGAAAGTGATCAGTTATTGTACTGTAGGGCAGCTCTCATCCTCTGTTTTAATACCAAGTGAATACTAATGTCTTAAGAGGTTTTGTCTGGCCTTTAAAAAGGTAGACAAACACTGCATGTAACTGACAAGATTGTAAAACTAAAAGTGCAAGTAATCTAACAGGCCTGCAGCCTCTTACAAACCAAAATCAGTGTCCAGGATGAAAGGGCAGCAACAGTATATGGATGGAAACAATTAAACACCTATAACTATGCGGCAGTGTTTTGTGACTGAATGAAGCATCCTTTGACAGTAACTATGTTTCATGTGATTTAGATAACAGACTTCTGTAAGCAAATTAATTGCATGGGGCAGAGTTTGACTGAGAGTACTAGAGGCCTTTTGCAACTGCATGTCTCTGTCAGTTGAGTTTGCTCAGTCTTCATGGAGATAGCAGCTTGTCATCATGCTACCTAATTATTGGGGTGGGGGGGCATCATGAATTGTTTGTGAATGTCCTTGATCTTTCTCCAGCTGTCTGCGGACTCCTGATGGACGTCGGATATAAATAAATTATGTTGTCGGGTGTTGTTACCAAAATTGTACCAAATAATCTTTACTGTCTGATCACTGACCTTTTGAATATACTGCAGAATGTGATGTTTGAAACATGCAGAATAAGCTGCGCTTAAGTAAAGATTAAACAATCGAAAGTACGTGTTGTGTAACACACAAATATCTCTCACTTGGAGGCTTTGATCTCTGTGGAGTATAATGAGCATCAGGGTGCTGATAGGCTGCATGTTTCACCATTCAACTCATACTCAAGGTCTTCTGAGGCTCCATTAGTTGAAGGAGGCAGAAACGTTCCTGTTGTTCTGATATGCAGTGGCATGGCAACAATACTACACATCCTCCTTTTAAAACCTGACCAGCATGAGTTATCATTTTCTTACAATAATAAGAAAATAGTTTTTACTGTTGACCCATGAGGGGTCAACAGTAAAAACAATTTTTTCTCCTACATAAGAGCGTGGAGAGCAAATCAAAAGAGACATTGGTTTTAAACCTAATTGTTTCTTTGTAGCGGTTGTGTTTATTTGTATTTATCTTTCTGTCTCCCTACTGAACTCAGCATTTAAACCTATTTTGTAAAACTTCCTTGTTTGGCTATTGTAACACCAGAATTTGTGACTAATAAAGTATGCTGTCTGTCTGCCTATCTTTCTAGTTGTTTTGTATTTATAGCTGTTTATGTGACCTTTTTTGCATCTCATTGTAGTAATTCTGTGTCTCTTCATGGCTGTTTTGCATCTTTTTGCAGTTGTTTCACTGACTTAAAAAATAGAGTCACTCCAAACAGAGGTTCTGGCACAGGGGCCCCCTGACCCCTTTGGGCCACAGAGGCTATGCTCAATAAGCCTGTTTTGTAATCCACCACAGTGCTGGTCTGTTGGCCTCTCATTTTCCTGTGTTTGTGCATGCACAGGAAAATCCCTCCATGTTCTCTTGGAGTAGACTATAACACAGTGGATTGGCAGTAGTTTGCATGATGTGGGGCTATCTGCAATGGAAATCATATGTAAAGTGAGGAGATGAATTCTGACCACAGCTCAATCCATTCTCATCCCATTTTTACTTAAAACTATTGAGAATATGGCTGTTCACTTGAGGTCAAATTCATTCTGATCACTATGAGACAATATATGACAGAATTTTTCTCCCTATGTGCACCATGCATGTCTGCATTAGCATAATCATAACAGTCATTTTGAAATAA